GCAATGAACGGATGCCAGGAAGACGAGGAGGGGGTTCATTTAGTTCATCAACTCTGTAGTGGGGATTGACATTCCGTCTCAGATCTGGTTTGGAACTTTTACTTGATGACTTAGCCAACGCCCAAGGAACTTCACATATTTCAGCATCACTTTCGTAATTTGCCACTCTCAGCACCTGCAGGAAAAAATATCTCAGACATTTGAACTTATGAAGGTAGACCTAACAGAAAAGAGGGACTTGCATGCGCAATGAAAATTAAATAAAAAGAAAAAAAAAAAAAAAACAAGCATTTAAAACGTTTGATAAAACCCAAAGGCTGAACAAAGCATCCAAAGGCCAAGAGACACTTGATAGTAGTCTAAACAAATTTAACCTTTTTCTTAACAACAAATTACATGTCCAAAGTAAAAATTTGCATAATGAAATCCTAAGCACCCTTCTGTTTTTTGCATTCTATTGATTACTTTAAATGTGGTTTACGTGAGCGAGGGAGAATCAAGGGTCTCATTCCAGAAATCATTAGGAGTCAGTAAAATAAAAATCTGGACTACAAGAAACTAATATACTACCATTCAGCTAGTCTGAAGAAAAGAAGTAGAAAATTTTGGTAAACGCAGAGTAAAACCAGCAATCCTTCAATTTCATACCAAAGGGGAATGCATGGATGATAACACATACTGCCTCTCTTAAATTCTGTCTCTATAAAATAAGATCTGGTTTTTGCTTTCAGTTTTCTTTATTTTTATTACATTGAATAAAAGGCAACCAGGGGAGTGCAATCTATGCGTACGATTTTATCATCTAACTTTTCCAGCACCATCCATATCTGATATCTAAGAAAACTTATAGGAGATGATTTCTGTGTGTACCTGGTGACAGCTTCCATTTTCAGCATTCCAAAGAGAAACTTCGTTGGAACCTGCCGCAACATAAATAAGGGGCCTTGCAGCAGCAGACACAGAGGCATTTGGTGGAGGAAGAAACAGGCACATTTTCTCTATAGGGCAAACAGAAGAATACTTCCATGAGTTTACAGGAATAAGGAACCTCATATCCCAAAGAGTAAGCACACCCCTCGAAGATCCTGACACAAACCAATTTTTGCAGGGGCCTGTTACCAGCGAAGACACATAGCCCTCCTCAGGAGTTGCTTTCAATGTCCATGAATTGGTATTCAGCCTTATATCCCAAAGATGGATCCCACAATTTTGGGTGCTGTACATAACCATCTGATTTGTGCAGTTATCCGCTGAGAAATTCAACAGGCTCAATACGGCACCTTCCTTGATATCCTTCTTCTTGATATCAGCAACACCTGAATACTTTTCAACAACATTACCAAGTCCCCTGGAGATGTAATCAACAGAAAACATATGTATCATGCCATCACATGCTCCTACCACGACTTGGGCAGACCCCCGGAGCATTGCACTGCACAGTGCACGGCTTCCTTCTAGATGATAAGTCAACCTTGACCGAAATGATATGTCCTTTTCCAACTTTCTTGAATCCCATACCTTAACAGTGGAATCATCAGACGCACTAACAAAAAAGCTATGATCAGTTGAAATGGCTATGTCATTGACAGCAGACCGATGTTCTTGCAGGTGAGCAACCAACACCCCACGAGGCCTCCAACCAGAGTCTGGAATTGATGAACTTCGTGAAGGAGATGGCATTCCTGTTAGATCACTAGCAGTGGATGCATCTTCCGCAGGAATAGCACCTTTTGTAGTGCCAGATAATCCCATATCTTGAAGCTTGCTATTACCAAAGGCTGTTTGATCATTATCCCTACCATCTGGCTCATGTACTACTCTATAGAACTGATTGGAACCATTGCCAATGTTGAATGATCCTGACACAAACTTGGGTGCTGGAACAGAACTAGCCAAACTAAATGATTTATTTACTGGATCCATCCAAGGCATAGCTGATGCACCAATTCCTACAGAATTCACTTGTGAAGAAGAATCAGATGTTGTAGGAGGACCTCCGACTGCTCGCTTGTCCATGCTAAAGGAGTATAATGGTATACCAACAGATGATTTATCACACATGAAGCTATTCACATAACTTCCCTGTGGCCACATAAACCCTGAAAATTGCAACTTTTCAGAGGACAAAGGATCATGAATGTCAACTGTGCTAGAAGAGCGTGTAACGCTTCCCATACTTCTCAACTTAGCCTCGCCATCATCACATTCAGTTAATTCTCCTTGTTGCAAGGCCTTTCCAGTAAGTTTATGATTTTCGGCATTTTGTTGCTTGTCTGGCCAGCTCCTTGTTGAACTCAGTTCCTCAACCCCTTTATAAAGTAAGTCAACACTTTCCCATTGTTTAGACTGAGGCCAAGAGTTGTACCATATCTTTCTCTGTCTTTCCAACATGTCTGAACTCCTTGCATTCTCTAGAACTTGGTAAAAAACCTGTCTTGAGACTGGAGGCTTTAAACACGAAAGGAGAGCCTTTTCAGAAGCAAGAGATGCTGGCTGTCTGCTGAGTAGGGGGCGAATAACAGGGGCTAGAAAGACATAGGAATCTACAGCATCTAAGCTTTCACTACTGGCTGCAATGAAAGTGACAGCTGACCTTCTTACCCATTGACTAGGATAGCATAACAATGGAAATGCACGCTCAATCATTTCAAGAAGTATCCTCTTCCGCAATAAACTACTTTTGCACAAAATGGCCAAACAGTCCAATGCATTGACAATTACAGCCTCTGTTACATCACTTACAGCCTGCTCAATGTAAGGTAATAGATATTCTTCCACACTTCTTTGACCCACAAAGAAGCATACATATACAATTTGCCCATAGAATACTGCTCTCAGCTGCTCATCTCGATCATTCAGAAAAGCAGGGAGAATGGGTAACAAAAAGTCATTACTCTGTCTCTGGCCAAAGAAGCAGCATAGGGTGCTAATGTCCTGAAGGAGTGCTCTCCTAATATTTGGAGTTTGCTTTGGACCCATAACAAGTTCTTGAATGACCTCAGCTATAGACTTCCTCAACACTGCAAGTTGACCAGATGTCTCACCAGATGATGCCAGTGGCTTTTTTGCAGAACTTAATTCATCAAGTACCCCAGCCTCACTCAAGCGCATTGAGTGAACCAAGAAACCATAAGCAGTTAGCGCAAGCTTAGCAATATTACTGGCATAACATATCCTCACACTTTCTTCTGGATCATCCGGAAGCATGGAAAGCATTGGCAGAATATACTCCGGAAAAATTTTTGCATCACTGGGAGGAAAATCTCGGACTAGAGGTAGTATGTCACACAACGTCTCCAAGGCAGCACAACGCACAATTGCAGCTGCATCTGAAAGCATTGCAACAACATATGGAATTACACGTTGCAAACGATCTTCATCATCAATATACAAGGCAGAGGATTTCAGCAAAAGTATGGCCCTCCTCCTTAAATGAGGCAATTTTACATTACGTATACATGAACAGAGCAACGAGGTAATCAGAACCATGCCCTCACATCTGATACTGTTTTCAGGTAACGGCAGAAACGGTGTGCCGAAGGTATCTGATTCGCTGTCATACTTGGACATCAAAGAATTCAAATCATTCAATGTAATCTTTTTCAGGAAAGGATGATCGTTTCTCCTAAATGCATTAGAGATAGATTGAAGTAATTCACCAGGAGATTGCATGCCATAGTTGCCAAGATTCGGGGAAAATGCAGAATTGGGATTATCGTTAAGCATTGGCTTGGTAGCAGAATAATTATTACTTTGTTTAACATCCCGAAGAAGGGTATTGATATCGCCAAGAAGTTCCAATTGATCACATTTTAAGCCTTTACCCATCTCTTCTTTCTTTGTAAACGATCCCTTTGTCAAACCCTTGTTCTGCATTACAACTGCTTCCTGAGAAGTTCTACCACTAATGCCATGGGCACTTGAAGGAATTCCCACTCCTGTTCCAGTGTCCTCAGTTGACCTACTGCTCATCATTTGTTTAAGTATTTCATGAAAAACACTATGGCAAAGTGCAACCTACATACAATAATGACAAAGTAAATTATCACTTTAACATGAGTTCCAAAAAGTATGAAGTGCGAATCTTAAATATTATGTACCAACATTTCTTACCCTCATATCTGAATGAAGGGGATTCCAGAAACAATGGAAATTATGCAGAAATGGAGAGAAGTAACTTGGAAAAACAATGGTTGTATACTCCTGAAGGTAGCTATCAGCAGAATGTCGCAACTCCGGTTCTAACTGAATCATATGAAGTATCATCTTGCGAATCCCAGAATCTGGTATCTGCATTCATTGCGCATATAAATTGATAGGATGGCCAACAATATTGACAGTCAACTTGAAGAAAGTGAAGAAAGCTTCCACCACACAATGCAGTCATTTGCATAGCCATGTACATCAGTTAGCCACATTAGAACAACCAAGATGCAATATAATAACCAAGGGTTGGCTAAAATATAAGGTTCAAGACTAGAGAAGCGACATGATAAAGAGTAATTTAATACATTATGGGAAGAGATGTGATGGAAACTCAAAAAGAATTGTATACTTAGTATTGAGAGAGAGAGAGAGAGAGAGAAAGTACCTTTTCAAGAAGTTGGCTAGGATCGTATTGCCCTCTACGATAAGCAAGAAGTTGAGAGAGTTCGAACAGTGGTTGTCCCTCAAGGAAAAGCTCAGCAATTACACATCTAAAACAATGTCATAAATATGATGATGCATCTCAAAAGAAAATAATAATGATAATGGTCATGATTAAGCATGAGCGCAATTTCATTCGGGCCAATCGCCCCCACTGTAACTTTGACAATGTATCAATAAACTTGAAATATATCATTTTCATCCTATATCTGAGTTTTCAACTTCAAATTTGACATCAAGATGAAACAGTCATGTCTGAAAAGAGAGATCCTAACTCAACAAAAGCTCACCCTACAGCAAATATGTCCATAGATGGCCTTAATGGTGCATCTTGTGCAACCTGCATCTCACCTCCATGCTCATAAAATCTCTGAAAAATGAAGGCGTATGAAGAAATTTAATAATGTAACAATTTATTTACAAAAGTATATATTGTGACTGGTTAGTAACGGTAATGTTGAGAACTTTCTTAAAATTAGAAGTGAAACTTCTCAGCTGACTCCTAATACATATTACTATAATTCGTACTACATTGGGATTTGTATAACTGCTCAAATTTTGTACCAGGATAGCAGGCACATTATCAATTTCACAAACCCACTCCGATCAAGCTGGATCTTATGACTGCAAGCTGTATCCCTTTTATGAACCTATATGTTCATGTTGTATGCATATAATTACATAACCGATTGCAACTTAAGAAAAAGTGAGAAAATGGATAAAGTGTGCACCTCCTCTGCAGATAAATGGAAAGAAAGTGAATACAGAAGAGAGATAGAAAAGTGAACCTCAGGAGCAAGATAACAAAGCCTTCTTCCTCCGTGTCAAAGAAAAAAGAGAAATCAGAAGGATCGTCATATGGTATGTAGGTGGGTTTGAAAGATGCAAAGTCAGCAAGGTAGAGCCAATTCCAAGAAGTCACCAACACATTCTCACACTTAATATCACCTAAGATGACAAATAGAAAAGAAAACCATCATAACTAAGACATTGAAAAAATAACGCTGGTGAAGTTCGTGAATAAAACTGAACTGACCGTGACATATTCCTTTATCATGGCACTGCTTCAGAGCAAGAAGTAACTACACCAACAACCACAAAACAAAACTCTAAGAGGAACCATAAACATCACAAACTTATAAATCAAGGAAGACAGACAGATAGAGGGTGAGAAAGAAGACCTGAAAGGCCAACCATTTCTTCTCGATTAGACTGAGAAACGGGCGGGTGCTTAACCGGTCGTGCAGATTGTTGAAGAAAAATTGCCTCACAAGATAAGCTGCTTTATCTGTCTCTTGCCAAAACTGCAGGAAGAAAACAGTAGGGGCCAAAATGTACTCAAAAAGTCGGCTTCTTTGTAAACTTGGAAACATCAAGTATGATATGATACCACTCGGAAACATCAAAGCAACTCAGACCCACATGAAAACATCAGCTTCCAAGCAAAACCGAAAACCCAGGAGTTTTACCATTAATTAAGTTTATATGCTAATAGTAATACACTAAAGTAAAGTTGATTAATCCTGTTATTTTGTCGAAACTGATTAATCGTGTTTATGCTAACGAAAAGTATAAGAAGAAATGGAAAATGACCTGGAAGGGCCAAACGTGAGGGTGATCGAGAGCACGGAAGGTTTCCTTGATGAGGAAGAGGCGGCGCTCGTACTCGCGGAGATCAATGGAGTCACCGCGCTTGAAATAGACCTTGACGAGGACCAAACCCTCGTCGTGCTTGCACTCAATCGACTTGAAGAAGCGGCTCCGCCCTAGAACCTCCTTCAGGACCAGGTTGTAGGACGATGGTAGGTCGTGGAGGTAGTACTCCGACGCCGACACTTGCGTCGTTCGAGCGATCTTGTTCCCCATCGATTTTCCCTCTGCCTTTGCCTCTCAATCTCACAATTAATTTCAATTTTCAAAGGAGGATTTAACATTAAACTTTGGGAGCAGGCAACCACCTAAACTAATTGAATGAGAGAAAATGGGGAATTCAGAGCTTAGGATTTCTGCAGGTTGGAGGGAGTGGGAAGAAGAAGAAGAAGAAGAAGAAGATGAGGGGGTCGGGCGGGTCTCGGAGTCAAATCAGGAGGGTCGGACTATACGGGGGATGATAATTTTCAAAATAAATTTGGGGGTATTTAATTAGGAGGTAGATTGTTTGACCTCTTATTGGATGTCCTTCCCAACCCCTCTTATATTGATTAAGCCACTCAACATTTTATATTTATTTTTTATAAAGATAATAAGATAAAAAGCAACAGGAATATAAAATGTTGACGTGGCTTAACCGTGATCGCACAAATAGGAAGGGATGGGAAGGCACCCAAACAGGAAGGCAAACAATCTGCCTCCATTTAATTATAGGGTTAATATCAGTTACTATCTTGAAGTTTCGTGGCTTTCAACATTTGGTACATGAAGTTTTTTTTCATCCCAGAGTTATACTCAAATCTTAATTGTGGGACAATCCCATACTTCCATTGTCTTTCTGTAAAGAGCTATGTTAAAATGTGACGTGACAGTTGACTGGATGATAACTATGCAAAAATGTGGTAGTGTGGACCCCACATAGACATATAAACCCAATTCAAAATTCAAAAATATTTTTTTTGCCTATCTCTTTCTCCAGCAAGGAGACCGAAGTAAAAAAATTAAAAAAATTATAACCTCCATTCTTTATTGCGTACACCTTATCCAGCCACCCCCATCTCCCCCTGACAACCCACTCCCAAAGCTTCCCAAGCTGTCATTTTTCACTCACCCACCACACTGTGAACCCACATCCTCTACTTTCCTCACCACCTTCATCTCATCCTTCGCCTCTCTCATTGTCATAGTCATCTCCTTCACCAACCCTTTCATTACCATAGTCATCGATTACGGCGATCCAGATCTGAAGACCTTCTGAAAGATTCCACAGCGTGTTGAACATGGCCACGATGGTAATCAACGGCTTGGATCTGGCTGCAACGGTAAATGAGCTGTCTACAATCGACTACCCCGACTCGATTGGGACAAAACGACAGCTTCAGATCCTGGCTTCGTCCGTACAATTTTAAAAACAAATTCTTTGAACCAGGAAGAGTCCATGACCTTGGTGACGTCTTCAGATCCCGGTGGTAGACGCCACTGTTGTAGCAGAAATTGATGGCGGAAATAGATTATGGAAATAGCTCGCTACCGCGGACCAGATCCATTGGGAAATGGATCTTGGACTTGCTCGCCATGACCTTTTGGAGCTGGACGATGTTGGGTGCTTCACCATCCTCATCACAAAGGACGATGTTAGGGTTCTTTTTAAGGTTTTAGGTTTTCAATTTTAATGTTTTTTTAGGGGTGTGTGGGTGTGATATCCACACACCCCATTTTACTTCTCACACACCTTTTTAATTTTTGGTCATCGGATCAGATGAATTGAAGAAGATCAATGGACCAAAATTATTAAGGGATGTGTAAAAAGTAAAATAGGGTGTGTGAATAGCACACCTTTTTTTTTAATGTTTTAATTTTGTTATTTTTTTAATTTTAATTTTTTTAAATTTTGACAAGTGGTACTCAGTCATTATCCACGTAGGCGCCACGTCATCAAATAACGGCTGACTTAACAGCAGCTTAACGGGTGTATGAGACTGTCCCAAAATTAAAACTTGAGGTATGACTTTGGCATGAAAAAAAACTTCATGTATCAAATGTTGAGAACTACAAAACTTCACGGTGGTAAACTAAGATTAACACTTAATTATAATTTGAAGTAATTTTTTGAGATTTAACTTGTCTTTAATCAAGATTTTAAGATAGTTTATTAAAATGTTTAGAAATTTCAGTGTATTCAATTGGATTTAAAGAATTTTAAAAAGTTGAAAATTTTGACAGAATCAAAGATATTTCGTAGTATAGTTTAAGTCACAAATTTCACCTGATTTCAAATGAATCGAATCAAAATTTTACGTGGAATATCTCAAATAAATTAAACTCCATCAAAATTTGTGAATTTATAAATCTATTTAAATCCTTAAAATTCTCAATTGAATACACTCTTATAATTCTTTACTTGGAACGTTTATTCTTTTTATTTTAAAAAATTACTCTTACACATATTTGTATTTGTTGTAGGCCTAATTTAGTGAACTATATATAGGACTAGAGAATGAGAGGGTCGACGGTAAGAGAGAGATGTAATTCTGAGGTGTGTGTTATATCATCTCAATGTGCCTTTATTTATATTAGTATGATAGATTAAATCTTCACCCTAATTGGATTACAACTCTAATAGGATAATATCTACCAAAGGAATATTCTAAGATATTCCTAGATACACTAGGATTTACACAATCATATTCCTAATCTAATAGGACTGCAACACTCCCCCTTGAGTGTGTAAATACTCAAACAAAACTTCGCATCATATCTTCAACAGTTGAGGTAGAACAATTAATGAAGTCGTCGGCAAGAATCAACCCGGAGACCGAGGAGGGCAACGACTCTACTAGAGGATTCATGGGTGTAGAACAAGCCCAAATTTGTCGTACCCTTGATGTAGCAGAAAATGTCTTTAACACCATTCCTAGTGTCTACGTGTTGGCTCATTGTTGTACCTAACCAAACGATTAACAGTGAAGAAGATGTCAGGTTCAGTGCCTTGTCAGGTCTAGTGCATTGAGTCAAGTACAAAAAAGCACCAATTGCGTTTAGGTATAGAACTTCAGTCTCCAAAATCTCTTTCTCATCCTCCTTGGGATGGAAGAGATCTCGTTTAGCATCTAGAGTCCGAACGATCACAGGAGTACTCGAAGGTTTAGCTTTATCCTCATTAAAACGTCGCAACACCTTTTGGTTGTAGTTCGATTAATGTACTAGGATTCCATTCGAACAATGCTCGATCTCCAGGCCGAGACAATATCGAGTTTTCTCAAAATCATTCATCTCAAATTTCAATTTCAAGAGAACGGCAATTTCCTTAAGCTCTGCGGGAGTTCTGATGGGGTTTATGTTGTCGACATAAACTGCAACGATTGCAAATCCAAAATGTGACTTCTTGATAAACACGCATGGGCATAGTTCGTTGTTCATAAAACCCTGACTTGTCAAATAGTCAAATATTTACTTAAACGGTTATACCACATTCGTCCAGATTACTTTAATCCGTAGAGTGATATTCTCAATCTAATTGAAAAGGTGTTCCGAAGTGTAGAACTATTTGAACGAGCCAATGGAAGTCCTTCTGGAATTTTCATGTAGATTTTTGTATCTAGATCCTTATAGAGATGCGCGGATACCACGTCCATAAGCTGCATATTCAGTTTTTCGGAAACTACCAAATTGATAAGGTAGCGGAATGTTATGACGTCCATTACGGGGGAATACATCTCTTCATAATCAATCCTAAGGCTTTGAGAGAAGCATTACGCTACGAGGCGTGCTTTGTATTGCACTATTTCATTCTTCTCATTACGCTTCCTCACGAAAACCCACTTGTAGCCCACAGGCTTTACATATGGTGAGGTAGAAGTTACGGGCCCAAACACTTTGCGTTTCGCAAGCGAATCGAGTTCAACATGGATTGCTTGTTTCCAGTTTGACTAATTTGTTCTACGTCGACATTCATCAACAGAACGTGGTTTAATGTCATCACTAAGCATGATGTCGGTAGCAACTGTATACGCGAATGCATAATTGACAATTATCTCATTCTGATTCCAAACCTCATATAATATTGCGTAATGGACCAAAATCTTGTGATTCTCGGGAGGCTAGTTTGTCTTGTCTAAGACATCACCGGAATCTAAAATAACATCATGCGTTAGAATAAACTAGTAAGCGATGGTCGGATTTAGACTAGGGTCATTAGTTTGTCTCGTTTTCCTATTCCGGAGTTGTGAATCCTTTGAACCAGGAGGTCTACCGCGCTTCAGGGTAGGATCAGATGATTGGTTAGTCGCTAGTGTATCGGGCTGCGTGAGAGGTGTGACTGCCCTACCCTAGGGGACTGTCCAGCCTTCCTAGGCGGTGTTACTGCATACGTTAGGTATGTACATCCTTGCAGGTGCATTTGCAATGGGTATATGTGATCTCATCATCTTTGCTAGATCAATAAAAGCATCTGACATTCTTTGAAGATTTAGAATACGTCGCACTTCAGTTTCAAACTAAGCAATACGGGGATCTAAATGAGACAAAATAGGAGTAATCCACGACAATTCGTGGCATTCTATAGGAATGTGATCAATCTTATTTACCTTAGCGACGAAAAGACTGTCTCATCAAAGTGACAATCCACAAAACATGCGATAAAGAGATTTCTTGTCAAGGGCTCTAACTAGCGAATAATTTATGGTGAATCATAACCGATATAGATTCCCATTTTTCTCTGAAAACCCATTTTGGTACATAGTGGCGACATTATTGGCATATAGACTGCGCACCCAAACACACATAAATGTGAGACATCAGGCTCATATCTAGTAACCAACTGTAATGGTGAATTAGGTTGGGTAGTGGTAGGCCTCAAGCGGACCAACATAGTTGTGTGCAATATTGCATAACCCTAAGCATATATCAGTAATTCGGTTCATATAACCAAAGTTTGAGCTATCATTTGAATGCACTTTATGAAAGCTTCTACCATGCTGTTTTGGGTGTGAACATAAGGTACATAATGTTCAACTTCAATCCCAACTAACATGCAGTAATCGTCAAAAGTTTATGACATAAACTCTCCAGCATTATCCAGTCGAATTGACTTAATCATATAATCAGGATGGTGAGCTCTAAGCTTAATGATTTGAGCTAGGAGTTTCGCAAATGCAGGGTTGCATGTAGACAATAGCAGACTTGTAACCAATGCGTCGATGCATCAACCAACACCATAAAATATCTAAATGGTTTGCAAGTTGGTTGGATATGTCCATAATTATCTCTTTGAATCATCTTAAGAAACTTAGGGGGTCATGAATAATCTTTGTAGCTGAGGGTTGAATATTCAACTTTCTAAGGGAGCATGCTTTGCAAAGCGGATGGCCGAGATAAGATTTTAGGTGATGCCCATTTAATACTTTGAGGATACGACACATCATATCTCGTCCAAGATGCCCCATTCGATTATGCCAAAATAGG